CTGGCCTCAAACTCACAGCAATCCTCCTGCCTCAGCCTCCTGAGTGCTGGGATTACAGGCGTGCGACACCATGCCAAGCTGATATTGTGATACTTCATGGATATTTCTGTTTCTCTGAAAAACTTTTGAGACAGTCCTGCTGCCCAGGTTGACCTTGAACTCATGAACCCCTCAGCCTGCTGAGAGATTACAATCATGCAGTAATATACCTACCTGGAAATTAATTAAATCTTTGGAAATCAAGGGTTTTTTTTGTTTGTTTGTTTTTTTGGTACTGGGATCAAACTTGGGTCCTTGTGCTTGAGCAGCAGGTGGCAAAACCTCTGAGCTCAATCCCCATCCCTGGAAATCAAGTTAAATTTTCCATTTTCAGAATGGGAGACATAGTCCTAGGAAGAGTGTGTTTAAAATTACATAGTTTGGGGCCGGGAATTTAGCTCAGTGGTTCCGGTGCCTGCCTCAAAAGCAGAAGAACCTGAGTTCAATCCCCCATACCAATAAATAAATAAATGAATGAATGAGCAAAATAAATAAGCAAAATAAAATAAAATGAGGGCCAGGGATTTAGCTCAGTGGTTTTGCTGCCTGCTGCATAAGCACAAGGACCCGAGTTTGATCCCTGGTACCAAAATAAAATAAAGTAAAATAAAATTATATAGTTTGGGGCCGAGGATTTAGCTCAGTGGTGCTCCTGCCTGCCTCGCAAGCATAAGGTCCTGACTTTGATCCCTGTTACCAAAAAAAAAAAAAGATTACATAGTTCATCATGTTTAAAAGTATATCCCAGGGTCGGGGATTTAGCTCAGTGGTGCCATGCCTGCCTTGCAAGTGCAAGGTCCTAAGTTTGATCCTTGGTACCAAAAATAAGAATAAATAAAAGTATATTCCCAGCACCATACCAAAAACACTTTTTAAGTGTAATTACTCATTTCATTATTAGATAAATGTCATTTTTATTCAATTAAAGTTCTTGGTTATTCAGTCAAATATGAAAGAATAAATAGAAGCACTACACAGAGAATAGAAAACTACACACCATGCTTTGGCTAAGTTTTAGTGGATTCATATTTTTATTGTAAAAGGAACTAGAAACTGCCACATGAAGTTTTCTTCCCTTTATAAGTAATCCTGATAACTTTCTGAGTGATTTCTGTATGTATTTATAATGGCATCAAGTTAGACTCCATTGTCCCCTCTCACAGATGAGGAAATGCCCATCCTGAGCCACACAGCGCATCCATGCAACTCTGAGCTGTCCGTCTCTGGCTTGGCTCTGCCAGCAGCTGCTCTTGCCAGCCGGCCCTGTGGACCTCTGTCCTGCACACATGCAAATAGGACTTGGGTGTGGATCTGCCTGGGATCCTTCCAGACTTCTGCTCCTTCTCTTCGTGTCCCTCTCTGGTCCCTGTCTCCTCAGGCTCCAGCACCTCCGCCCGAGACCTGAGGTGCAGCCAGCTGCCTGGGCTGGGGAACTGGCCGTAGCCTCAGCTGCCTCCACAGGCTGGAAGCCACTCCCTGGGCCAGCACCTACCCAGTGCCTGAAAATGGTCACGTCGTGTATTATGCTGTTTTGTAGTCTGCAACAGGACAACAGAAAAACAAGTCCACCTCCAGCTTCTTCCCCATTTTCTTTCTTTTTTTTTTTCCAGTACTGGGAATTGAACTCAACCTTGTGCTTGCACCTCTGAGCTACATGCCTGGCCCATCCCCATTTTCCAAACACCAGTTGGTTTTAACAAATGTTTCAGGGCCAGGGATTTAGCTCAGTCGTTTTGCCGCCTGCTGCGCAACCACAAGGACCCGAGTTCTATCCCTAGTACCAAAAAACCCCCCAAAAACCAAAAAGCCAAATGTTTCATTGCTTCATGAATGCTTAGCCAGATGACTTAGTTCACTGAATCATTTTTCCCATTTTACATACTTATTTATTTTTTGTGGTATTGGGAATTGAATCCAGAGCTATGGCCCTGGCCCCTTTTTATTTATTTATATTTTTGGGGGTACCAGGGATCAAACTCAGGACCTTGTGCTCACAAGGCAGGTGCAGTGTCCCTTTTTATTTTATTTTTTATTTATTTATTTATTTTGGTACCAGGGATCGAACTTGGGTCCTTACACTTGCGAGGCAGGCAGTTGGAACCACTGAGCTAAATCCCCGGCCCCCTTTTTATTTTTTGACACAAGGTCTTGCTATGTTTCCTGGGTTAATTTGCCTTGTTAAGTTGAACTTGAGATGCTCCCACCTTAGCTTCTCAGAGTCCTGGGATGACAAGCGTGCACCACCATGCCCTGCCACCTTTCCCATTTGTGAACAGCTTTCTTTTTGGCAGTGCTGGGAGGGCCTGACATGTGCCACACAAGTGCTCGGAGCTACCTACACCGCACCCTAGAGCAAATTTCATTCATCACATGCTTCTGAATAATTAGTTTTGTAGTGGTCAAAAGAAAGTATATTAAACAGTGATACTATATACCTCTCAGACTCATGAGACATAGATACCAAATATGGCTTTATTGACACATTTTTGTACTTGGCCATAAGTCTATTTTGGGTCCTTTTGCTTAGAAGTTTTATAGGTATAATTTTATAGATGATTAATTTTGTATCCTGGTTCCTAGGTTCTAAGTAGTTCTGTACATCATACATTGCTTCCCACGAAAAATAACAAAGCCTGCTTTCTGCAGGCACAGCTGAGTATTATAGTCTCTGCTGGTAAGATTTTAACCACTTACTAGGCAAATTATTTAAATACAGGATGACCAAATATTGCATATTTTTCTTCATTAATTTTTATAAGATAATAGGAAATATAAAAACAATTGTTGGGCATAGTGGCACATGCCTGTAATCTTAGCCCATAGGATATTGAGGCAGGAGAATTACCCCAAGTTCGAGGCCAGCCTGGACTACATAGTGAGAACCTGTCTCAAAAATAAGGGCCGGGGATTTAGCTCAGTGGTTCCAGCGCCTGCATTGAAAGCGCAAGGTCCCGAGTTCAATCCCTGGTACCAAAAAAAAAAAAAAAAAAAACCCACACAAAAATAAATAAAATAAAAACGATTTTATCAGTGTAAGAACTGATTGGTTGAAATGACACCTGCCCTAGTACGTAAATAAACACACTGCCCAAGGATGCTTGGGGTAAATTTGTTAAGTGGTTATTCTTTCTCCATTGTTATTCTTGTTTATGAAAGTTGTAAAATAGCTTCAGTTAATTTTTGAACATGATTCGGCTTGTTTAGTTCTTTGTTAAAAGCAACATTGTTGCTTTGGTATATGTGGAATAGTCAGATTGAAAGATATGTTTAATACTTTTGGGTTTTTTTGGTACCAGGAATCAAACTCAGGACCTTGCGCTTGTGAGGCAGGTGCTGTGCCACTGAGCTAAATCCTTGGCCCTGTTTAATACTTTTAAATGAAAAAAAAGCACAATGCAGAACTGTGTCCTGTTATTTGCATAAATACATATTTATGTGTGTGCATTAATTACCACCTCAGGGCAGTATTCTATTTACCTTAAATTTTTTTTTTCGGTACCAGGAATTGAACGCAGGACCTTGCAATTGCCAGACAGGTACAGTGCCACCAAGCTAAATCCCCACCCCAACCTTAAATTTTTATTCCATACACATTTCTTACAAATTAAACAATGTAATTAAAATAAACCTGGTCTATTGTTACCCCTTTAAATTTTTTATTTTTGCAGGTAATTCAGTGTTCTTTAATAAGTACTTTTTCCTTAATATGTATATCCTGAAGACTACTTCATATTAGTATATAGAACTGTTTGGGGGAGAGGGGTTGAGACAGGGTCTCACTGGGTAGCCCAGGCTGGCCTTGAACTCACAGCGATCCTCCTTCCTCAGCCTCACGATCCTCCTTCCTCAGCCTCAGGAGTCCTGGGATTATAGGTGTGCACCACCACACCCTGCAGCTGTCTTCTTTATTTATACCGTTGGAGGTTATTCTTATGTAAGGAAGTATATGTTACTTAATTGACCTATTGTAGATGAAAAGTTTATGTTTAGGCTGGGGATGTAGTCAGCACTACAAAAAAGAAAGTTCAGATTTTTCCCTGTCGTTTTCTCTCTAATACTAAAGCTACTGTTCTTTTACATAATTCTTTTGGTAGAAGTAATACATCTTTAGGAATAACCAATTTGTATCTAGAAGTAGAATTCCTGGATTGAAGCACTTAATATTTTAATAGATTTTTGCCCAATTGCTCTCAGGAGAAGTTTATTAATTTGCATTTCCACCCAAGTTGAGTTTCTGTTTCCCTCAGTGTAACCAGTAGTGTATCAAACCGTTGGATCTTTTCAGTCTAATAGTTTAAAATGATTCTCTCATGCTGCATGGGTTTTCTGCTTGATTTTTACAGTGCTTGGGGTTGAGCTGCGCTACACCCCCAGCCCTATTTTTATTTCTTATCTTGAGACAGGTTTGCTAAGTGGCTGTATTGCCCAGGTGGTGCTTGAATTTTCGGCCCCTTTGCCCAGAGTGATAGGGTCACAGGTGTGTGCACTGAGCTTGGCTGGGTGGGGGTGGTTTTGGAGACTTGAGTCTCACTGTGTGGCCCAAATGGGCCTCAAGCTTGTTATCTGCCTGCCTCAGCCTCCCAAGTACTGGGATTATAAGTGTGTGCCACCATCCCTGGCTGAGGTTTTATTTATCTTACTGTGACGTCAGCACCTTTTTGTGTGTTTAAGAGCTGTGTTTAATTTGTATTTCTGAATATATGTGTAGTTATTTTGCCAATTCCTTTAGATATTTAGGTTTACTTTTTTTTTTTTGGTACTGGGGATCGAACTCGGGTCCTTGCATTTGCGCAGCAGGCGACGAAACCACTGAGCTAAATCCCCGGCCCTAGGTTTACTTTTTTTAACTTTTGCTAATAAAATTTACTACCAGTCGCTTGTCATTATTTGTGGAGTCCATATTTGCAGATGTGTCACTTTATCCTAATCCAGCAGCAGCACTCATGATGCAGTCACAGACATTCAGGGACACAGTACCGAGATGTCTGAGTCCTGTTTTGTTTCATCTCTTATACTACAAATGAGTATCCTTCAAAAATAGTTTTAGTACCATCATAATCTTTCCCTTTTAAGTCATCTGATTAGTTTGTGAGTTATTTCTGTACATTACTGATTTAATCTTTATAAGTCAACTTAGCTCCCCATTGCCCAGATGATGGAAGGGACTCCCATCCCTGGTGCCCAGTGGCTGCTTTTGCCAGGCTCTGTGGACACCTGGCCTGTGCAGGTAAGGATTTGGCAGGAATCCTGCACATTTGGGTGGCTTTTGTTTGTTATTTTACATGCTCAGCAGCCACCAGCACAGTGTCACACTGCTGCCAGTGACCCTAATTTCCAAAGGCTTGGATAGGCCCGAGAAGAAGCACATGTGGCAAATAAGCTTTATTCAGGCAAAAGTTCTGTTCTGTCCAGGGTGAGTTCAGTGTTAATGACTTGGCAGTGTGGAGTATATGGGATGATGCGTCTTCAATCCAGGTATCTGTTTGAATCTGTTTCATGGATTCCATTTCTTTCCTATTTTGGCATTCATGGTTTTCATCATGTTCCTGAGCTCCTCTGTTCTTTTATCTGTATCTACTCTAGAGTCACTAAGCATGTCTTTCACTCTGGTCACCATCTCTTGGGAAATTATTTCTGCTTTGATTTTTTCTAGAGCCTCGTTCATCTGCTTTGTTACTTCTGCTGTTACCAGAAGAGAGAGAGAGTCCAGGTGGGTGGCTTTTGGATTGTTCCACTTCATTGCCCCCGGGGTTTGCCTTTGGTGAGTTGAAAGTCTGGGGGGGCTGCATCTTATTTAAGTGTCCTCTCATTTTCTATTTTTTTAAAGTTTGATTCCTGGGTTGATGCTTGTAAATTGCTTATGGCAAGTAGCTTTATTATTAGTATTCAGGACCCGTAGGAAATGACTACTTCTCAGAAGCATCTTCCTGGTGTAGCTAGTTTTTGAGTTTTGAGTCTACTGCAGGATTCTACCTCTTCAATTTATTGGAGATGAGAAGTTTCTGCCTACTTGGCCAAGCTGCCAGTTCTTTGGCACTGGCCTATAGAGGTTCACTTGTTTTGTTTTTGATATCAGGAATCGAACTCAGGGCCTTGTGCTTGCCAGGCAGGCACTGTGCAGCTGAGCTATATCCCTGGTCCTGGGTTGTTATTTTTTTTTAAAGACCCTTAGGCATGGGCCGGGGATGTAGCTCAGTGGTTCTGCAGCCTGCCTCACAAGTGCAAGGTCCCAAGTTTGATCCCCGGTACCAAAAAAAAAAAAAAAGAAAAAGAAAAAAGAAAGACCCTTAGGGAATCTCAGTCTTGGTATACCAGGAGGAACAACTGATTAGCACATTTATGACATGGTTGGCTAAAGTAGTACAATCAACAATAACAATAGCATCAAACAGCCTAGAAAATGACAAACTATAGCCCTTAATATGGCAATTTTACCCTTAGGGGAGAAGATTTATAAGCAGTTAGGGGATAAAAAACAAAAGAAGAGGAAGAGATCAGAAGCAAGAGGACAAACATTAGGAAACTGGTGAAGAAGACAGGTGAGAAAAAGGAAAAAATAAAAACAAGAACAGAACAACAACAAAACACTAGAAACCAAAGAAAAGATCTAGAAAGGAAGAAAAAAATCCCAAAAAGGTTCAATTCAAGGTGTGTCTCTGCTGTCACTGTTAGACAGTGTGGGGAAACAGAGTCCAGAGGCAAATAGATTAATCCCAGAAAGCTAGCTGCAGCTTCACAGTGGGGTAGTGGGTAATCTCAGCCAGCCTGCCCCTTTAGTTCCACTGAAGTTCAGGCTGGTTTCTGGCTATGAGGCTGGAACTGGATTCCTTGAGCCTACAACAGTCTGTGTCTCCTGCCAGCTTGAACTCTGCTCCCTGACCTGCTGACTAGAATTCGGCACCCACACTGAGGCACTGGGAGCCACTAGATGTATTCTGCCTGCAGCTGTTCTGAGTTCTGAGCTCAGTTGGCCCCTCTCCTGGGGGAGGTCTGAACCTGTATAATTCACCAGCCACTGCAGTCTGGTTCGTCCACTGCTCCCTTCCACTGGTGTGTTTCTTCATGTAGGCCTATGGGGTCGTCAGCAGTCACCATGTGTCTCTAGGTTCAGCCTGCCATTCCCTTGCCAAGAGTCGGGCTCTCAGAGAGAGTACTGCTTGCTACCTCCCTCCTCTTTGTCAAAGTCTATCTCTTCACTCTGCCTGTAGACCAGTTCTTGCTTCAGAGCCTTCCTGAGTCCCAGGGACCCACTTCCCTCCTTCTCCTCTTGATGCTGTATTCCAGTGTCAGGACTCAAATTTCCGAGAGGCTTTTTCTCTGCTCCTCACCACTCTGCCATCTTCCCAAATACACATCAACAAGGGTGTGTGTGGATGGGCCGATGGGGCTGTGGCCCTGCGTTTGCCAGAGCAGTAGTTCACCAGGGAATGGGTGACAATTACAGAACAGAGAACCTGTCTGAAAACAAAAAAAAATTTTTTAACTTAAATATAAAAATAATATCGGTAACTTTTAGGAAAAAAAAAAAAAAAAAGGAAAAGCAGAAGAGATACAAGCTTAATGGGACAGGTTTATTTCAGAACAAACCTGAGAAGATTGGTCCTGGCACTGAGACCAAACCGGAGCTATGAGGTCTTTTATAGGGTCATGGTTATAAAAGGGGGGCTGTGGAAGAAAAGGTCAAAATGGGGCTGTGCGGGAGTTCGGTGAGGGAGCAGTGGCTCTTCAAGAGAGAAGGCTTAAGAAAGACGGTGTAGGGGGCCAGGGATTTAGCTCAGTGGTTTCACCGCGTGCCTTGCAAGCGCAAGGTCCCAAGTTTGATCCCTGGTGCCAAAAAAAAAGAAGCATGGTGTGGTGTGTCTGCCGCTGGAGAAGGTGACCTGGGTGGGGGTGGGGTGTGTGTGCTGCCGTTCCTGCTGGGCCTTCCTGAGCAGGATTGTGTATCTCGGCAGGTGCACAAGCACAGTGGGATCCGAGGCCAAGGATGGTGGCACTGGGCTCCTTCAGTAATTATAACAAGTGCAAAAAGGGAGAGAGTGAGGAGTGCCTTCCACCCCACTTCCCAGAGGCAGCCAACATGAATATTTTCACATATCCTTCCAGAAATCTTTTTCCACCTTTATTGAGATGTATCTGATAAAGATTACGTCTTTTAAGGGGGAGCACACGGGAGCACATGTGATGTCTCGCCGCAGATTGCTGGGTGAGTGGACAGACCATCTAGAACTGGCAGCGCGTCTGGACATGCAGGGTCAGCTCTTAGTGCACAATGGGATTCCGCCGCCCAGACTGAGTGGAATGGGTTCTGAGGAGCCCGTGGCCCTCAAGACCACATCTGAGCCTTGGAGGAAAGCATTTCCCCACACCCTGTTCCTTCTTCCCATGGCCAGTGGACGGAGACAGCACAAAAGCTTGTCACAGCGACAAAGAGGCCTGTTCAGGACTCTCTGGGAGGAGAAGGTCGCATGGATTCTGAATCTAAGCCAGCTCATTTCTACCTGCGTGTGAAACAGGCCTTAGGTCAGCTGTTTCCTCCCTACACTGAACATTTCTGTCCCATGCCTTTGGTGCAGACCTGGTCCCTGTCCCCACCGCTTTCTGGACCCTGGATGCCGGGACTTTGCTATGTAGCCTGGCCGAAGGGCTCCTCTTGCACAGGAGGTTCCCGAGGGGCCTGCCGAGGTCCTGCTGATGGGCTAATCATAAATGCAGGCTGTTTGCTTATTAGAATCCTCACATGTTTTACAGGTACTCTTGTGTGCAATAGTTACTAAAATGTATTTGATAATTAGGGTTTGGAAATTGTTCATTCAACAATTTTTACTGAATATCTTCTTCTCTCTCCCTGCTGTCACTGTGCAGCCGAGGCGCCTTTGAACTCTCAGCCTCCAAGTGCCCCACCATGCCCAGGCTGAAAGTTTTATTTCTGAATGATTGGTGAGAATGGTAATCTCCATTTCCAGAAAATATGTAAGCGCTTAGACTGAGGACACCTTTCTTTGACAGCATCAAGCAAGGTGATGTCTTCTGCATCCAGGAGCCAGCCGAACATGTTGAGTGTGAGCAGGCTCGGCAAGCGGCACAAACACTGGCCCAGGGCCTTGACTGTTCTGGCCTGAGCTACGATGCACTCGGTGAAATTTCTGGAGACATTCAGCTCTCTCAAGCTCGGCAGGTTGTCCAGTGCTTGAAAGAAATTCCTGTATCCATCCTGTGTAATCCTGTGATTGATTGAAAGATTTAGATCCTCAAGTTTCTGGAAACCTCCACTGATTGCTACCTTGGCTACAAAAACAAAACATTAATTAAAACACGATCATAAGGACTTTTTATTTCAATAATGGTGGACAGGGTTATTTGAGTCAACCTCCTCTCTTGCCACCACCATTACCATAAAGTAGGAAATCTCCAATGTACTATTTTATGTAATTAATTAATTTATTTTTTTGAGACAAGGTCTTGCTAAGTTGTCCAAGCTGGCCTTAAACTTTCAATTCTCCTGCCTTAGCCTCCCAGGAGTGCTGGGAATACAAGTATGCACCACCATGGTGGCAACCAGCAACTTTAAATAAAAGTAATTCCTAGAAAAATATAATTTGCAAACAGTACCTATCACAAAACAAGAATATACTAACAGGTAGGGCCAGGGATGTAGCTCAGTGGTGCCACCACCTGCCTGGCAAGCACTAGGTCCAGAGTTCAATCCCTGGTACCAAAAAAAAAAAAAAAAAAAAGGAAAGAATATACCAACAGGAAACCTACAATAAGATACAACTATCCAGTCATTAGACTGGCTAAAATTTAAGGAACTGACAAGTACCAAGTAAGGCTAGGATGTGAAATGACTGCTGGTGGGGGTGTAAATTACGACAACATCCATGGAAAACTGAAAGCATTTATCCAAGTGCCTCAGAAACTCCTGCCCTAGAAACACCTAAATACATGCATCAAAGGCCATGTATGTTCATAGAAGTATGATCACTACTATTGTTATTAATGAATTCAACTCAGGGCATTCACACTGAACTACAATCCCAAGCCTTTCTTCTAGTCTTTATTTTTATTTTGAGACAGGGTCTCACTAAATTGCCAAATTTCCCAGGCTAAGCTCTAACTTATGATTCTCCTGCCTCAGCCTCTCACAGTGCTGGAATTATAGGCATGTGCCACCATGCCCAGCTAAAAGCATTATTCATAGTAGCCAAATATTAGAAACAACTGGATAAACTGGGGTGTGTATGGAGTCACAGCATAATACTAGGTAATGAAAATCAGCTCTATCACATGCATCAATATGAATAAATAGCACAACTATAATGTTGATAAAGATGCAGAAGGGCCAGGTGAGGTGGTACATGCCTGTAATCCCAGCACTCAGGAGGCTGAGGCAGGAGAACTGCTGCAAATTCAAGGCCAGCCTGAGCTATATAGTGAGTTCAAGGCCAATTTAAACTCCATAGTGAGACCTTGTCTCAAAAAACAAAAAGATGCAGTAGAGTACATATTGTGTAGGATACCATTATGTAGCATTTTTATTTTATTTTTTGAGGGTTGGGTGGGGTACCGGGGATTAAACTTGGGACCTTGTGCTTGCACAGAAGGTACCAGACCACTAAGCTAAATCCCCGGCCCCATGTAGCATTTTTAAATAGGCAAAACTAATCTATGGTGGAGAAAGCAAGATCGCAGTCTCCTCTGGGAAGGAGAAGGCCGTGCTGCCAGACAGGAAGTATAAAGGAGGCTTCCACACAGGGCAATGTTCCATATTCTAACCTGGTCTTCTGTTACCCATACCTAGGTGACAGAATATCCAAGAATGTTCACTAAAATTCATTGACCAGCACATTTAAGACTTTGGCCTTCCATATATATATTAATCTCCAGCTGAAAACAAAAGAGGCACTTTGGAGAGAATCGGGCCATGTGTCTTGACACACAGGTGTGAAGAACACAGGCCTGCGGGGTGGAGCTCAGTGCAGGGTGCTGGCCTGGCGCACATGGCCCTGGGTGTGAGCCACAGCACCACACACACACACACACACACACACACACTCTCAAAGGTTTGTATAACCCTAGTGGAAGACTTTCTTGTACTTCCAAGTCTTGCTATTGGCAAACTGAGTCCACAGAAGGACTCCACAGGGAGCAATGTGAGGCTGAGACTAGGAGCGGCTGGGAAGTGCGGAGGGCACGTTTTGGAGGCTGCAGCTGGGAGCTTGAGCTGCATCTCAGAACTCTTAAGAGTAGCTTACCGATTTCCACCACGCTGTCATCATTCAGAATCTGGAAAAAGGAGAGGACTCGGAGGCACAGGAGCTGCTGACACTGCTGGATGATCTGATTCGCCACGTGATAAATCTCGTCCCCAGTAGGAAGGACCAGTTCTTCCAGGTGGGTGAGAGAGCCCAAAGTGCAGGCTGCGGAGGGACACGGCATGCTCTTCTCTGTGTTGCTTATGCCCGTACATCCCAAACCCGTCACCTGCACCTCACACACAATGCAGGAGCCCGTGTCGTGTTCAGCCCTCACTCCTCCTCCCGGCCTACCCATATTCAGTATCTTAATTAATGGGTTTGTACCTACATTCCAACTCTGAACTCTGAAACAATAAGGACTTAACACGTTTGGAATGGATACTTGACAGTGCACTGCACGGCGCTGTGATGACCGCATCCCCAGTGTGCGCTGGGAGTGGACCAAGTGTCAGGAAACCGTGGTGAAGGTGTGTCCGGCTCAGAGCTGAGCAACCATCACTTCCCCCAGGTGAGCGTGGGCCGCTGCTGAATGAGCCCTCTGCGAGCACAGCTCAGCCAGCCACAGACCAAAAGTACTTTTCACAAAACTGCCCTGCACTGAACGTGTTCAGGCTCTTCTTTGTCACTGTCTCCCGAATGACACAGTATGACAACTAGATGCGTAACACTCACACTGCATTAGGTAGTATAAGGAATCTAGACTCGAGTTAAAATACACAGGAAGATGCTTGTAGGTCACCTGCAAATACTAAACCGTGTTCACACAGGGCACCTGAGTGCCCTCCTGTTGGCGTCAGTGAAGGGACCTGAGCCTGGAAACTGCACCCATGGTGCCGCCCTCCGTCCTGCACGCACTCACTTCACCGTAGCTCAGTCAAGTGGCAGACAAGGGATTTTGTGGAAGCAAGGGGATAATAAGTAGAAACCATACCAAAATTGATTTGAAAACATACCAAATTTTTCAGATGTTTCCTTATCAGGAAATTGCTGGTGTTCAAGATTTAATATCTTCAGAAAAGTAAAATTTGGCAAAATAGTGACTACAAGAGAGAAAATAAAAATTTAGTTATATCAGCTACATTTCTTATGTGTGTGTGTATATATATGTGTGTATATATATGTATATGTGTATATATATGTATATGTGTGTATATATGTATATGTGTATATATATGT